GTGCAACTCTTGGGTATCTTTATTGAGGAAACGTTTCGCCACACAGTGGCTTCATCAGTCCATACAAAGGAGAATCTTGAAGAACAGGAGGAGAATGAGGTAATCAGTCCCTCAACCTTGAGTCGATGTGGTCAGTCCATCAATCTTGAATAGAATACGGCATACGTGCTGAGAAGGAGCTTATAAACCGTTGGCAGGAGAGGTGCAGAAGTCATAGGTCGTGTAACATTTGTTCAATGTTGAAGTAGGTCGTGCCCAAGAATTAGGCAAGCGAAGAATTCCCAAGTATTAAGATCCCAAGAAGTTGCAGTGTCTGCCAGGTTTGTAGATGAATGGTTCATCTACAAACCTGTCAGACACTGCAACTTCTTGGGATCTTAATACTTGGGAATTCTTCGCTTGCCTAATTCTTGGGCACGACCTACTTCAACATTGAACAAATGTTACACGACCTATGACTTCTGCACCTCTCCTGCCAACGGTTTATAAGCTCCTTCTCAGCACGTATGCCGTATTCTATTCAAGATTGATGGACTGACCACATCGACTCAAGGTTGAGGGACTGATTACCTCATTCTCCTCCTGTTCTTCAAGATTCTCCTTTGTATGGACTGATGAAGCCACTGTGTGGCGAAACGTTTCCTCAATAAAGATACCCAAGAGTTGCACATGTGTCTAATTTATCAACATGTCGTTCTCTGAACCATTCATCTACAAACCTGTCAGACACTGCAACTTCTTGGGATCTTAATACTTGGGAATTCTTCGCTTGCCTAATTCTTGGCACGACCTACTTCAACATTGAACAAATGTTACACGACCTATGACTTCTGCACCTCTCCTGCCAACGGTTTATAAGCTCCTTCTCAGCACGTATGCCGTATTCTATTCAAGATTGATGGGACTGACCACATCGACTCAAGGTTGAGGGACTGATTACCTCATTCTCCTCCTGTTCTTCAAGATTCTCCTTTGTATGGACTGATGAAGCCACTGTGTGGCGAAACGTTTCCTCAATAAAGATACCCAAGAGTTGCACATGTGTCTAATTTATCAACATGTCGGTTTCTGAACCATTCATCTACAAACCTGTCAGACAACTGCAACTTCTTGGGATCTTAATACTTGGGAATTCTTCGCTTGCCTAATTCTTGGGCACGACCTACTTCAACATTGAACAAATGTTACACGGACCTTGACTTCTGCACCTCTCCTGCCAACGGTTTATAAGCTCCTTCTCAGCACGTATGCCGTATTCTATTCAAGATTGATGGACTGACCACATCGACTCAAGGTTGAGGGACTGATTACCTCATTCTCCTCCTGTTCTTCAAGATTCTCCTTTGTATGGACTGATGAAGCCACTGTGTGGCGAAACGTTTCCTCAATAAAGATACCCAAGAGTTGCACATGTGTCTAATTTTCAACATGTCGGTTCTCTGAACCATTCATCTACAAACCTGTCAGACACTGCAACTTCTTGGGATCTTAATACTTGGGAATTCTTCGCTTGCCTAATTCTTGGGCACGACCTACTTCAACATTGAACAAATGTTACACGACCTATGACTTCTGCACCTCTCCTGCCAACGGTTTATAAGCTCCTTCTCAGCACGTATGCCGTATTCTATTCAAGATTGATGGACTGACCACATCGACTCAAGGTTGAGGGACTGATTACCTCATTTTTCCTCCTGTTTTTCAAGATTCTCCTTTGTATGGACTGATGAAGCCACTGTGGGGGCCGAAACGTTTCCTAAATAAAGATACCCCAAGATTTGCACATGTGTCTAATTTATCAACATGTCGGTTCTCTGAACCATTCATCTACAAACCTGTCAGACACTGCAACTTCTTGGGATCTTAATACTTGGGAATTCTTCGCTTGCCTAATTCTTGGCACGACCTACTTCAACATTGAACAAATGTACACGCCCCTATGACTTCTGCACCTCCCTGCCAAGGGTTTTATAAGCTCCTTCTCAGCACGTATGCCGTATTCTATTCAAGATTGATGGACTGACCACATCGACTCAAGGTTGAGGGACTGATTACCTCATTCTCCTCTGTTCTTCAAGATTCTCCTTTGTATGGACTGATGAAGCCACTGTGTGGCGAAACGTTTCCTCAATAAAGATACCCAAGAGTTGCACATGTGTCTAATTTATCAACATGTCGGTTCTCTGAACCTCATCAAAACCTGTAACACTGCAACTTTTTGGGGATCTTAATATTTGGGGAAATTTTTCGCTTGCCAAATTTCTTGGGCAGACCTCTTCAACATTGAAAAAAATTTTTACACGCCCTTATTTTTCTGCCCCTCCCTGCCAAGGTTTATAAGCCCCCTTTCAGCACAGCCGATTCTTTTCAAGATTATGGATGACCAAGGGACTAAAGGTTGGGGGACGATTACCTCATTCTCCTCCGTTCTTCAAGATTCTCCTTTGTAGGATTTGTGAAGCCACTGTGTGGCGAAACTTTTTCCTCAAAAAGAACCCAAGAGAGTTAACAACGCTTCAAGGACCTTACAGAATCTCTCATATCGCCGTCCTGGTGCACCTTTGGAGTGAATAAGATCCCACAACCGACACATTTCCAATAAACATATTCTAAGCGATAGTTTCTCCTTTTTCTGCTACTTGTCGGTATCTCGTTCCTGTGTATCCATGTCACGCATTGCCAGACACGAGCACATAGTTTATTTCATCTTATAATTGTCAGTTAGCCATGTGCAAAAGTTAATTTACAGTAATCTTAATTAGAGTAACAAATACTACGTGTCTGTAGGGGCAAAGATTAGGTGCGAGAAAATAACTATCATAGTGGACAGGTTGAACTGCCGGTAGTTAAGGCATTGTTTGCCCCACCGGTAATTCAGGTTTATTGTGACACAACCCCTCAAGGAAGGTTCCTTGACGCTGGTGAGGGGCTCTTGATCTAGGGAATTGGATCTGTGCTCCAGTTCCCTGAATTAAGCCTGAATACCTTCCACATCCCCGCCCCCCCCCCTTACAGGCGCTGTATAATCCTACGGGTTTAGCGCTTCCCCTTGATTATAATTTGTGACACAAAGGAAGAAATAACCAGGAAGAAGCATTCTTGGGGGTAAAATGTGGCATAAAATACCGATAAACGTGAAGTAAGATATAAACACAGTATTAGAAGCCACTACTGACGACATATTTCCATCGGTCAAATATTCTGACACTGAACATGTGTGTTAAGTCACAGATACATTCTTTGCTTCCACTTTCAACACTTGTTTTGTTCGTATTTATTAAAAACAATCTCGCCCGAACAGGGACTCGAACCCTGGACCCTTAGGTTAAAAGCCTAATGCTCTACCGACTGAGCTATCCGGGCTCGGCTGTAGGTGCCGGAGTGTAAATACAGGAGCAGCAGAGTTGTGCTCGTGGTGGTTTAGCGCTTCTTTTTTATTATAATAATGTGCACATAAGTAAGTAAGTAAGTAAATTTATTCAGGTATACACAAATACAGTTACATAGAATTATCATACATAGCAGCATATGTGTAGAGAACTTGGGATAACCCAAAAAAGTCAGAGTGACTTATTTCCATTGGGGTCCTTTTACCTTATTATTATAATATAAAGGTTATAATATTTTCTTATTATTCTACAATGAAGATAACATCTTATTATCATACTAAAAAGACTATCTACTACACGAGGGTCATTAAGACTTGTCTTGTCTAGTCAGTAACGTCTAATTTCTTAAGATTTCCAGTAGTTGTGACACTCTCCCTCCTCAGTCTACCACTGTATTGATGAGGAAATACATATTAGTGTTCTGGTACCTGTATTTTTTATTTACACTTATACATAACGTAAGGTTTACATGAATACAATTATCATACATAGTGTAAATTACCTAGGATAACTCCTTCCCCCCCCCCCAAAAAAAAAAAAAGTGAGACAAAGTGGTTTGATTTTTTTGTAGAGGTCTTTTAAGGACCCGCAGATGTTACGTGCAAACAAAATACTAAATTATTAGATTTATTCTAATATACCACAATGGAAATAAATCACTCTGATTTTTATAGGTTATCCTGGAGTTTCTACACATATGCTGTTACGTTTGATAATCATTGTATGTATACATAAACTTACTAAGTAACTTTGAATTTTTTGGGTTATCCTAGGTAATTTACATATATGTTGCAATGTATGATAATTTATGTAAATACATTTGTGTACCTATACCTGAATAAACTTAATAAAACTAAACAATGTGGCTTATTTCCCCTTGGGTTCATGAACTCGTGTTTTCCCAGTTTTAAACCATTAAAACAATCATCTTGATTTTCTCGAAGTTTTTGCAAGACCTCTTAGTAAGTTTATTTACGTAAAATTACTGTGTTAGGTGATTACAAGTGTCATGCATAGTAACACAGATTTAAATTACATAGTATAACCCCCAAAAAAGTCCGTAGCTTATTTCCACTGGCGTCCTGCAACCTGTACTCACCTGAGAGTACTCAACTAATTGTACTCACCCAGTTGTGGTTGCAGGGATCGAGTCTCAACTCCTGCCCCTGTCACTTTGCTGGCCGTTGCTGGTTGCACTCTCTTCTGGTTGATGGAGCCCTGTCATACCTATTCTTAGAACTATGTATGGATTCTGCCTCTACCACTTTGCTTTTTTGGTCGTTTCATTTCCTGACCACTCGAAGGCTGAAGAAGTATTTCGTAACATACTTATGGATCATCGGTGTTTTCAACTTAGAGTTGTGACTTCGAGTACCTGACACCCGCCTCTCAGACTCTCCTTCTCTACCCTGTCAATACTTTCATTATTTTGCACGTTGTAATCATGTCACCTCTGGTCCTTCTGTCTTCTAGTATCATCAGGGGTACTACCTCTGGCCTCTTCTCATACTTCACACCCTTCACCTAGTCTCAGCTTAGGGGTTCTTCTACACCTGTCACCTTCACCTGAAGAGCTGGTACACACATCTAACCTCATTTCTTGTTTTGCAGGTGGCGGTGGTTTTCCCTGGCTAGGACGACCCTTCCTACCTCACCTAGATCACCTGAGAGCCGACCCCCTAGCAGCCTCGATCGCCCTTAAATATAACGGCAAGTACCACCTATATTTGCCTTCATACCACACATACATCCGTGTTAGTAAATACCATCGTTTATAGCAACAATCAATAGAAGTTGCTTCTGGCTGAGCAAAGAAAATGATAGGATGGATAATGAGAACTTTCAAAACGAGAGATGCCAAGATAATGATGATCCTTTTCAAATCACTTGTTCTCTCTAGGCTGGAATACTGCTGTACATTAACATCTCCATTCAAAGCAGGTGAAATCGCAGATCTAGAGAGTGTACAGAGATCCTTTACTGCACGTATAAGTTCTGTCAAGCACCTTAACTACTGGGAACGCTTGGAAGCACTTGACTTGTACTCGTTGGAACGCAGGAGGGAGAGATATATCATAATCTACACTTGGAAAATCTTGGAAGGAATGGTCCCAAATCTGCACACAGAAATCACTCCCTACGAAAGTAAAAGATTGGGCAGGCGATGCAAAATGACCCCAATAAAAAGTAGGGGCGCCATTGGTACACTAAGGGAAAACACCATAAGTGTCCGGGGCCCAAAACTGTTCAACAGCCTCCCATCAAGCATTAGGGGAATTGCCAATAAACCCCTGGCTGCCTTCAAGAGAGAGCTGGACAGATACCTAAAGTCAGTGCCGGATCAGCCGGGCTGTGGCTCGTACGTTGGACTGCGTGCGGCCAGCAGTAACAGCCTGGTTGATCAGGCCCTGATCCATAGGGAGGCCTGGTCATGGACCGGGCCGCGGGGGCGTTGATCCCCGGAATAACCTCCAGGTAACCTCCAGGTAACCCCGTCATAGACCCAGAGATCCCCTATTCACATCATGAATGCAGAAACAACTCCATTATCCAAGATTCTAGGTTGTCTTTCCCCACATGATTTGATAGTTTATTAGGATGTCTTGTTATCTTGTTATCTTGCTTGCTAACACATTGCTTAGTTCTCGTTATTCTCCATACACCGAGCAGTACAATAACAAAAGTGTAGTGGTACCACTCCTGACTTTGGATTAAACGCATGATCAGTACCATATATTCTGGCTACTCTCGTAAAGCCAAGTGTGGGTACAGTCTTCCATCTGTACCTTAAATGCGAAACAAGGAACACATTCACCATGCCTGAGTCCCTTGTATGCCAGGAGCCACTCGTCAGAGAAATACAAATGGTTTTAAACAAATAATATTGCGACTAGCCGAGAATCGAACCCCCGATATTTTAGTATGCCTCCCGAGAAGCCTGCCAAAATTGCGAGACGCTTTAGTCCACTTAACCATCAATGTTTTAAACATCATGTGCCCAGTACCACTGGACATGTCACCCCTGATGCTAGCATATACGTGGTCATGGAAGCTAGAGGACTAATTTCATTCTCCTCCCGTTTGGAATACCAGTCTTCACCAGCAGTGCACATTAATGAAACCACTAACGAGTGCTTTTAAGCAAATAATAATGACAGTAGCCTTGTATGTAGCAGTGGCGTGGGAGTCTTGTATGTAGCAGTGACGTGGGAGTCTTGTATGTAGCAGTGGCGTGGGAGTCTTGTATGTAGCAGTGACGTGGGAGTCTTGTATGTAGCAGTGACGTGAGAGTCTTGTATGTAGCAGTGACGTGAGAGTCTTGTATGTAGCAGTGACGTGAGAGTCTTGTATGTAGCAGTGACGTTTAGAGTCTTGTAGTAGCAGTGACGTGAGAGTTTTGTATGTAGCAGTGACGTGAGAGTCTTGTATGTAGCAGTGACGTGGGAGTCTTCTATGTAGCAGTGACGAGGGAGTCTTCTATGTAGCAGTGACGTGGGAGTCTTCTATGTAGCAGTGACGTGGTGTTCTTGTACAACTACATTCTCATAAATAAAGAGGTACAGTTTCAGCCTTCGCTGAAATTGTAAATTGTAAATTGTGAGAATGTAGTTAACAGTGTCTGAAGCATGCGTTGCTTGGGTATGTCGTGCATGCGGTGCCCCACCACATGTGCCCACGAGCCCACTGCACGTGCCCACGACCCCTTCCCATCTTCAGGGAACCCTCAGACCTACCCCTCACCCACGCGCCTTGCTGTTAACGTACAGCAAGTGGGTTAATTTTTCACTTACATGGCCAGTGTGAACACTGAAGAACACGCGGGTGAGAGGATCTAAGTACACTTGTGGTCTGTGTGGGCGGATCTAGGAACACTTGTGGTCTGTGTGGGCGGATCTAGGAACACTTGTGGTCTGTGTGGGCGGATCTAGGAACACTTGTGGTCTGTGTGGGCGGATCTAGGAACACTTGTGGTCTGTGTGGGCGGATCTAGGAACACTTGTGGTCTGTGTGGGCGGATCTAGGAACACTTGTGTCTGTGTGGGCGGATCTAGGAACACTTGTGGTCTGTGTGGGCGGATCTAGGAACACTTGTGGTCTGTGTGGGCGGATCTAGGAACACTTGTGGTCTGTGTGGGCGGATCTAGGAACACTTGTGGTTTGTGTGGGCGAATCTAGGAACACTTGTGGTTTGTGTGGGCGAATCTAGGAACACTTGTGGGCTGTGTGGGCGGATCTAGGAACACTTGTGGTCTGTGTGGGCGGATCTAGGAACACTTG